TAGAATGATCAATTAGACTAGCTCCAGAAGCGTAGTGCCATAACCCGATGTGTACATTCACAAAAAACGTGGTAGTTTGCAAGGAAAGAAGGAAGAAAATGGGAGACAACAGTTCAGAATTTGTGCCAGATGTCCGTGGTCAGCGTTCATCTGAATGGCTGTCGCCAGCCATCTCGTAACCTTTCGCATTACAGTAATCTCCATGGCAGACACATACGGTTATTCCATTTCCTCTCGAACGACAACCAACACTGTCCTCCATGGCACATCCACCGGATATTCGCCGGTTTTTACTATCTGAAATCAAGAGAACATCAGAAACGCAGAAGAACTGAGCTGAGAAGAAAGAACCAGAATCAGGGAAAGCAACCCAGATGAAAAATACTGGAGTGCGATTTTTCTATGACCTCTCCCTTTCCATTTTGACCTGCAAGGTGCCACTTTTTCAGCGCACTTATCAACTCCCCTATTTCAAAATTCTGGGTCCTCAACTGAAGACAACGAACGAGACCTTGAGGAGCTGGAAGCACCCTCTTCCCTTTTCCGAAAAAAGACCTTGAAGATTCTGAGAGGAGAAGACATTTGCTTGAAAAACATGACCATTTCTTAAAAACAGGTTCGGTCACTGAAACAAATGTTTCTGTAGAGGGAGGGCAACGATTCGCAGATTTAAACGCATGGCAAAGACAATGGAGCTTATAACTTGCATACATGCACCCCCGCCCTCCCACTCGTCACTCCCGTTTACGCACGGCCACTGTTGTGAGCATGCATTGACGCCTGCGTCTCACTTATCCCCTGTGCTCTCTCGCCGAGTCTGTTCTCATAATTTCGCGCCATTGTATTCTGAGCTGCCTGTCGTCGAAACTCTTCACGCGCAGTTGAGTGAAGCTCTGAATTCCAGCGCTGTCCATGGATTCTGTTAACCTGAGATTCACTGGCAGGTTAATGGGCATATATTGTTTCATATTTGAACCCATTTACCCACTTTCTTGACGTGGAACGTGCGCTTATGAGTATTTTTGCAGCTAAGAAAAATAAGGCGTTCTTTCAGAGTGATCTACGGATTTTTTTTCAAAAAATGGTGAAACAGCTGTAGGCATGAGTGACTCCGTGTAAAGATGAGCCACGACTTGTTCTGATAGAGGAGCCATACTTCCTAATTAATTGAACCTCCCTTGGAAAAGGGCGGAAGTGGTGTAGTGTGGCAAGTGGCACGCTTACCACGCGAGCGGTCCGGGGATCAAATCCTGGGTCGTGAGTCGCCCGGGCCAACCAAGCCTTCCATCCCTCCGGGGTCGGTTAATTGGTACCAGACTTGTCTGGGAGGATAAAAACACTGACTTGGCTGGCCCCCGCAAGTCATTGTATAGGCCACATCGCATTCAAACGCCACTACAAATGGAAGTAGAATGCGTGCCGCATCCCAAAAAGGGATTGATCAACGGCAAATGCTTTATCCTTTTTTTTGTCCTTTGGACCAGTGTCAGACTCTGCAGTTCGAGCGGTGCGCCAGCTTGAGAGTTCAAGGAAGTGGCGAGAGTCAATGTGCTGCTGGGAGGGACTCTTGCCATTTCACCGCACTCTTGAACATCTTTGACTTGCGAGCATCTTAAAAACCGCTGGCGTATCCCCAATTCCCTGCGATTAGATGGATTCGCAGTCTGATACCCGCCTTGCGATGACGTAATTCCTATCACTAGGAGGGAGCAAAGCACTGATTTGCAAATTTGGCCAACCCCTAGAAGTTATGCTGTGAACCCCATAGCCATCCGACGCTCCACAAATGTAGAAAGCCATATTCATGACACAATCGAAGCGCTTGGAGCATTTCCGTCCCACCAGTCATTTTCTCTGGGAGTAATTACAGTAACTGAACATACAGAGGGGGGCAAAAAAAAAGGCATTTTATCTCTACATTTGAGCGGATTTCTTCACACGTTGCTTAATGCAAACCGAACTTCGAATTGAAGAGCGCATTCCATTCTATTCAAAAAAAAACTTCATAGTGGCTTTCGACATGGGCGGCATCAGAAAAATCAGCCAAGGAAACATAACAAATGTAGAGATAAAATGTCTTTTTTTGCCCCTCCCCCTCCGTATATTCAGTTACTGTAATTATTACCACAGAAAATGACTGGCGGGACGGAAATGCTCCAAGGCGCTTCGAATGTGCCATAATGCACTAGCCGAGCTCAACGGGGGCTTCGACAGATCAAGCGCTATTAAAACGTTTGCTAGGGTGCTTTTCAGGAGAGGGGTTTGACAGCTAAGCTTATGTTTCACAAGAATGCTGGGTTGTGAACAAAACTTTCGCCCCAGGCGGGACTAGAACCCGCACCTCTCGCTTTCCGGGCAAGTGCGCTACCAGTTACGCTACCGGGGCACCATTTCATTCCAACTCAGCTTTTCATGGTATACGTACCATAGCTTTCAGCACTCACACGTCTAACGTGTTCT